TTTTTTGTGAAATGTCAAATTTTTGTTTATGATTAATTTAAATTCAATATGTCGCTTTTTTATTGTGATCTCTGATCTATAAGGTTTTCATGAGTTTTGGTTTCCGAAATAATTTGGTAAGCTAATCAAATAAATATAAATTGTAAAACTATTTATATAATTATTTTCATAACTATTGACAAACGTTTTTCATGTCAACATTTATTTAAATTTATAAACATTTATTTTTAATTATTAAGATTTAAAACTATAAATTTTGATTTTGAATATAGCATTTCATCTAATTTGGATATATATGTTGGATATATCTATATATGTACATGTTTTTGAATTATATTATTCATTATTAGGTTGTCAAATATCTCCCTTCCGCTTTTTTGCTCTTGGTTTATAATACAAAAAGGCGGAAGGGAGATATTTGACAACCTTATATTTTTTGAACTGCCAAATTTTTTTCTCAAAAATCATAAATCTTTTTTTCTCGAATTTTCCATAAATTTTGACATTTGTCATTTTAGTGTTTTGTTTTTTTTGCCCTTTTCTGTCAAAATTTTTAGAAATTTATAAACATTATATATTTATATTTTAAATTTACTTTTCAAAATTTCCTACAACCTAAGTTGGATATATATGCACACGATGAGACAATAAAATTTAAAATCGGTTCAGTAGTTTGGGCGTCCATCGCGAACCAACATCGTGACACGAGATTTATATATTAGGTTGTCAAATATCTCCCTTCCGCTTTTTTGCTCTTGGTTTATAATACAAAAAGGCGAAAGGGAGATATTTGACAACCTTATATATATATATATATATATATATATATATATTTCTATTATTTGTTTCTAGATATCAACGAATGTGAAAATGCCCACTCGCCCTGCAAGAACAACGCCATGTGCCAGAACACTGAGGGTTCCTACGTCTGTTCCTGTCCACCAGGTTACTTGCTCAATCCTGACGGAGTGTCCTGTCGTGACCTGGACGAATGTGCAACCGGCAGACATGTCTGTCAACACGAATGTATCAACACTGAAGGATCTTACACTTGTGCATGCCCGAAAGGATATAATCAACAAGGAGACCATTGCACCGGTATGAAAAAAAATTTGGTTTACCTTATTGACATGATGGTAATCAGATTGAATTAAGATGATTGTTGTTTTTTTAGATATTAATGAATGTGCGGAAGAGACTGGAAATTGTCCAAAACCAGGAACTTGCATCAACACTCTGGGAAGTTTCAAGTGTATCTGTCCGAGAGGATTTAAATTGGATCATTCGGGTTCATTCTGTGTTGATCAGGACGAGTGTTCGGATGATGGCAAATGCGAGCATGGTTGTCAGAATTTGGTCGGAGGATATAAATGTGGATGTCCTGAAGGTAAGGAAATGGACAATATTAAGGAACTTTTCATACTAAATATTGTCGAAAGCCAGCCATGTGGTTGCTGTGCAGTCAGGCATATGTTTCTAATGTCAAAAAAACGATCTTAGATAACAGGGTTCTGACCCAGCTTCATAACATACGAGTGACGTTGCAGTTTATGTGTAAAAAACCTGAATGCACAACAAATACATGACATTTTGACAGTATTCAGTATCATTCAGTAGCATAATGCATGCAAGTTGGAGCGTAACATGGCCTTGCTATAACATTTTTTTGTCATGCGGCAGAATTCGTTCTTTAGTTTATGTTTTTTTTAACTTCCCAAAAGAGAACTTTATGTTTTCATCAAAAAATCCGATTCGCTAATTTTATGTTTTCTCGACGTTTCAAGCCATTCTGAATCGAATGAGACCAAAATTCGGAAAAAGTATGTGTGTGTATGTGTGTGCGTGTATGTGAACAGATTTTTTGCTGTAAATCGACCTTTTCTCCCAAACGGATGGACCGATTTCAAAAATTTAAACGCCGATCGATGTATCTCGATGAGGACTAGCGTTTCTGAGTTTTGTGCGACGATCGGCCGGGCCGTTTCTTTGTAAATCGCAGAAAAGCAAAAAAAATTTTCGTCCACGTTTTAGGCCACAATTCTGAATCGATATTGAAAATTCAAAACCATTCGATAGATATTGATTGAGAATCGTGCTGATTAGTTTTTGGTAAAGATCGGCCGGGCCGTTTTCTTGTAATAGTTAAAAAAAAAAAAATCGACGATTTTTATGATTTTTTTTTGGCGGTAGATACCATAGTCTTCTAGATCATAATAAAAATATTACGGCCCTCCGACAAGCCGTTTAATTTTGAAAATTCTTTAAAGTTTGCAAAAATTAGTATCGTTTTTTTGGCATTTGTCAAAATTAGAACTTTCATCGACGTTTTCTCAAAAACGCCTGAACCGATTTCAGAAATTTAAAAGCCTTTTGATGTATCTCAATGAAGACTATCGTTTGTCAGTTTTGTAAGACGGTCTGCCGAGCCGTTTCTTTGTAATTTGAAAAAAAGTGTTAAACTTTTCGTCCACATTTTAGCCCATTCTACCGAGACGATTTTAAAAAATCAAAAACTGTTCGAAAGATATTAGTTGGGAATGATACTGATTAGTTTTAGGTGAAAATCTACCGAGCCGTTTTCTTGTAATTAACTGTTGCAAAAAAAATTGAAACTGATTTTTATGGAACTTTTTTTGCCGATATATATCATGGTCTTATAGAACTTACTGAAATGTTACGGCCTTAGAAGTAATTTAATTTTAAAAATTCATCAAAGTTTGAAAAAATGAGTATAGTTTTGTTGACGTTTGTTAAAATTAAAAATAGACAATTTACTTGGTATACGATAGAGTACTTGATCTTAATGAACATACTAAACCAATAAAGTCCTACGGAAACTGGTTCAATTATAAAAATTATTGATTTTTGAAAATTTGCTTTTAGAAAATACTCCAAGTGAACGTGTTCGTTCGTTTTTAATTATGTGTAATAAATCCACTCGGAATACTTTTAATGACTCATAAATTAATTTATATTTTATTAATTAAGTCAATTATTTACACATATCGGGAAGTTCATGTCACTTGCCTCAAGGCAAAATACCAATACCAACTAGTTTATTCATTTTATTATTCTAATATTTTACTACAGGTTTTGTCCAGCACTACTACTACAACCAGTGCGTGGACGAGAACGAATGTGCCAATAATCCTTGCGGAGATTCTGGAAATTGCTTCAACACCATCGGCAGTTACAGATGTGGTTGTCCTGATGGATATCAGTTTGATAACTCTTTGCAAGTCTGCGTACAGGTACAGTAACAGACTTAGGTCAATTTATTCCGGTTTGCTTGTTTTTATTTTACTTATTTCTAGTTTTATTTTCCAGTCTGGTCCTGGTTGCTCGAGTTCTCCTTGTTCCTTTGGTTGCACTGCGATGGGTCAATCAGGCTACCAGTGTGGATGTCCGAGAGGTTATCACAGAATAGGTTAGTTTTTATAACTAGTTACATTTATACATACTCGGGCCGAAAATCGAAAATGGAAATTTTTGCATTTCTCGACGTTTTGAAGGTTTCTGAACATTTTACTGGCATACCCCAGAAACTAAATGGATGTGTGTGTGTGAGCGTGTGTGTCCGCATTTGAATGGTTTAAACAACACGCGATCCCTATTGATAGGGAGATGTGCTGATTAGTTTTTGGCAAAGGCAGATCCAGCCGCTACGGAGATATGGAGCGAAGAGTGTAGAAAATACAAATCGAGTTTTTGTATGATCCGATTTGTATGATCCAAAGAACATTCAGTTCGTAATGACGGGAAAAAGTGGTTTTATTAGTTTTTGGCAAAGGTAGGCCCAGCGGTTTCGGAAAAACAGAAACTAAATGTTAAAAAAAATGGCAGTATTTGAGAGAACTAAGCGTCCGATTCAAATGATTCAAAAAACTTTCTGCTTGTTTCAACAAAATAATTGCTTTGGGAAAAAATTTTGATTCTAATTTTTTTTCCAAAAAATTTTTTGTAATTTTGGATTAAAAATTCAAAAAAATCGCCCAGGCTAGGCACAGTCTAAGCGCCACTCTGGTACAAATGTTTACCCAAGTGCGTTTTGACTGTTTATGTACTGGAGCATTTTTCCAATTTTGTGAAAACTATTGAAAAATCTGAAAATGCCACCAAGCTAAGCACAGTATAAGTGAAAATGTCGCATAGAATTGTTTGCAAATGCGTTTAGACGGTGACTATGCGGGAGCACTTTTTCAATTTTGTGTAAATTATTTAGGCAACAATTTTGTTTTGAAATTGAATTTGAAACGAAATGACGATTATTAATGTTCTGGAGATAAATTGATTTATGATTCATGTTTTACATTTGATTTGCTCAGATATAACAAGATAGCAAAAATAATGAAAGTTTACAGTATTTGAAATAATATACACCCAAGTCTGTTTTTACACGGTCTTTTTGTACACGGTTTTGATATAACACGGTTTGAAAATTGAATATTTTTAATTTTTTTACACGATTTTATTCTATTTAGCACGATTTGAAATTTTATGTACTTAAATTTTTTTTGTCAAATTTAATTTTTGCGAAGTATTTTCATATCACAAAAAAGTATTTATGAAAGAAAAAAGTCTGAAACCATCGATAGTATCGATAGTTTGCAAACACTAGCTTAAAGATTTAAGTGAATTCCCCTTTAGCGCGTACAAACAATTTTTACTGGTCAAAGCAAATGTGAATAGCACTAATTTAGGGGAATTATTATTAAAATAAACATGAATTCTTGTTCTTGGAAATTCTTGTTTTTCACTAATTTTAATAGGTTTTAGACATTAGGAACAAATCACCCATTTTTGTATAAGATTCTGGAACCAATATACCGTGTAAAAACAGACTTAGGTGTATTTGAAAACATGTGAAATTTCTCGAATATTTCATTACGATACGGGAAGTTCGAGCCATTTGCTTTAAGGCACGATGCCATACACCACTAGTTATTTATTATATTTACCAGGTCACGGTCACTGTCTATCCACAATAAATCCTTTGGGTTACGGTGACGACTTTGGAGACAGATCAGATGATGATAAAGGGTTGTCAGCTGAAGGATGTTTCACATGCAAGGTAATGAATTAATTTATACAAAACTAGATGACCCGACAGACTTTGTTCTGTACCTATTCTGTCTACAATTTTTTAATATAATATGCTAATATTTACCATTTACCCAAAAATAATAATTATTGTTTTTTAAATTATTCTTCACCCCAAAATGCATATACATTTATAATTTGAGTGATGTTAAATTTAGAACTGCTTTAATTTAAAATGATGAGTCAATTCTTACACTATATTGGAAATTGAAGTCTCTTTAACGGTATAACATAACCATAACCATTACATAACACTGGTACTTCGTGTTGGATTAAATTAATTTAATTTGATATTATTTAAGATATCTTAAACTTCTCCTAATTGTTATCGTAAGGGCCGAATTGTATGTATTCATCTTTACTTTCCCATTTGTTGTTATAAAGTGAAATTTTTCCGAATTTTAAAAATATTGCGGAAAGATTAGTAAAAGATGCAAAAAAAATATATATTGAAAAAAAACTATATTGAAAATTTAATATCCGAATCTTGTATTGGCGCCCCCTAAGGCGTGCGCTCGTATTTTTCGCATGCCTCGCATTAAAGGTAGTATTTCATATTTTAAGCAAATTAATTTGTTCATATGTGTATCATTCAATCTGCATACATATATTGTATCTTATATTATTTTAATTTTTGTTTATCTCAGCTGCTTTTTGGCAATAATAATGCACACATTTCAATTTTCTTATTCATAACCATAAATTTATTATACAATTTCTAATATTGTCTAGGTTCATAAGTAAATTGGAACTTTTTGCAAATGATAGTTTTCATTTGTTTCAATGCAAACAATAACATATCGCTTTTAGCAATTTTTTTCATTTATGTCTACAATATTGCACATAAATCCCAGTACTTATAATCACATACATCCTAGAAAATTTACTTAACAAACTTCAGAAAAATTTATCAAAATCCGAATAATCGTTTAGGAGGAGTTTAAAGTGAGTGCTTGTAATTTAATATGAACTTTGTATAATAGCAATGAAATCCAAATTGATTGTACGTTTTAGTTATAAAACGTTTGCATGTAAAAAAGAAAAGGGCTGTTTTTAGGGTTTTCCCGACGATTATTCGATTTTTTCTCGCCGTAAGAACCATCCTTGGACTTGAACGAACATTTTAAAGAATGAATTGTCGAAATTGTTTCATGTGTTGTTGAGTTATGCGCTTACCAACACATTTTGCGATCCATTTTTATATATAAGATAATAATTATATCTGTAATAACTTATATGTTTTTGACTTTGTAGCAAAAAGGTTTTCGCCACAGACGTCAATCCAAAGAAACGTACACTGCAGCCGATTATTCGTATGAAGAATCTCCAAAACCATCATCCAGGGATCATCATAAGGACAATGTAGAAGTCGAAGGATCTGGTTTTGCTGATGACAACCAGGATGCTGTGTCCTTGGTGGAAGATATTCATCCTTTGTTGAAGAGGAGTGCTGAGTTTATTTCTAGATCGGAACGGATAAGGAAACGACAGGTAATAACTGAATAGTGTTTTTACACTTTTTTGGCATATCCAATCCAATATTGTATTTTTAACTTCCTGTAGGGTAAGTTATAGTAATCGCAAATTAAAATTTTTATATATTTTTACGTTTCAATGGTTTCTGAACATTTTGGCATACCTCAGCAAAAATGGATGTATGTGTGTGTGTGCGGATACATCCTTTCATCGTCGATTTCGGGAACACGGAACAACCAATATGAATAATTCAAAAAAAATTGATTCGTATTAATATGGAGACGTGCTGATTAGTTTTTGTCAAAGGCAGGTCTAGCCGTTTCGAAGATACGGGGCAAAAATAGCAAAAAATCGTAATTCAGTTTTTGAAAGAACGGAGCGTCCGATTTGAATCATTCAAAAAACAATTTATTTGTATTGATTAAACGAAGAACTGTTTAAATTTTTGTAAAGGCAGGTCCATCGGTTATGGACTCTCAATAAAAAAATGCCATTTGACGGTCAAAACTGTTCATTAGACATATGTACATGTAATTATCAGATATTTTATAGAGATTTTAATAATGCGGACACATTTTGTGTCATTTTTTTGGGTTCTGTACCAAGATTTTTAATTTTGAAGTTTATTTATATGGTTCAAACAAATGTCCTCAACAGTATAAAATAACAGATTTATATGATTGTGTAGACGGTGTGCAAAAAATGCTTTTTAAAAGAATTTCAAGTTTTGAATTTTATTCGTTTTCAAAAAAAAAAAAAAATTAATAATGCGGACACATTTTGTGTCATTTTTTTGGGTTCTGTACCAAGATTTTTAATTTTGAAGTTTATTTATATGGTTCAAACAAATGTCCTCAACAGTATAAAATAACAGATTTATATGATTGTGTAGACGGTGTGCAAAAAATGCTTTTTAAAAGAATTTCAAGTTTTGAATTTTATACGTTTTCAAAAAAAAAAAAAATTCATAAAATATAGAAATTTAAAAAAACGATTTCTGGCAAAAATCTGAGAATATTTTGAAATTTTCAAGAACTAATATTTTGACATTCTCAAAAACTGCTAAATTCTCAAATATGTTAAAAATATCGATTTTTAATTTCAAAAATTTAAAAAAAAATCAAATTTTGAAAAAAAAATCAAATTACAAAAAACTTCGTTTTTTGAAAATTTTCAACAAAAAATTAAAGTCTCAAAAAATTCAAATTTTCGAATTTTTTTCATTTTCAAAAAAAACTAAATTTTAAAAGTTTCAAATAATGTCAAAATTGAAAAAACATCGATTTCTTACAATAATCTGAGATTATTTTAAAATTTTCCAAAAAATGAATATTTTCAAAAATTTCCAAATATTTAAATAATTTAAAAAAAAACGATATTTTTCAAAAATTCCAAAATTTTTTCAAAAATTTGAAAAAAAAATTAAAAAAGAAGGAAATTCGTTTTTTGAAATTTTCAAAAATTAAAGTCTCAAATAAATCTAATTTTCGATTTTTTTTTCATTTTCAAAAAAAAAAATAAATTTTGAATATTTCAAAAAATATCAAAATAAAAAAAAATCGATTTCTTACAAAAATATGAGAATATTTTGAAATTTTCAAAAAATGGATATTTTCAAAAATTTCCACATTAGCAATTTTTTGAAATTTTCAAAATTTAAAATCTCAAATAAATCTAATTTTCGATTATTTTTTCATTTTCAAAAAAAAAAAATTTGAAAATTTCAAAAAATATCAAAATAAAAAAAATCGATTTCTTACAAAAATATGAGAATATTTTGAAATTTTCAAAAAATGGATATTTCTAAAAATTTCCAAATACTCAAAACATTTAAAAAAAATCGATTTGTTTAAAATTTTTTTTAAAAAAATTGAAAAAAATGCACTTATATATTTACAATAAATAATCTATTTAAAATTATTTAAAACAATTATTGATTATTTTCATTTTTTGAATTTTTAATTTGAATTTTTAATTTACCACTAATTTAATTTTTTTTTGTTTAGACGAGTGCAGCTTCATCGAACGAAGTCAAACGACACAGACATCGTCGACAGAGCAAAGAATTCAGGCTAACAGTCAAATTAACACAAACTAAACACAGGATGAGGATCATCAAACTGCAACCTGCTATTAAGGTAAATATCTATTACGATTTAGTACATAGTGCCACAAGAATAATATATTCATATGTCCTTTACCCCCAGCATGATTTCGTCTATCGGATAACCCGCGGAAACGAATCGAACAAATTCGAGCTGGTCAAAAAGCACGGTGTGTGGTCTCTGCACTTCCGTCGCCGTCTCAAGAAACCAGGAACATTCGACATCGAAATTCGAGCCGAACCAGCCAATCCGTTGTCGACAGCCCTACAGACGACGACATCCAGTTCGACGGATTCGACAGAGGCGTTCGACAAACCTCTGACACTGAGGGTCAAATTGGACGTTGTCGAATAATAGAAGGAGGATTGGTTTGGATTGGATGGTGAAATGAAAATGAGAACAGTTTGTAGATAGATAGGATAAGACGAGTAAGTGATTTAAAAATATAAATTGGGAGCTGTTGGAAAGTTTGTAGCTTAAGCGAATTGGAATGAAAGACATCTAATGATTTTAATGCTTTCGATATGAGAGTTTCTTTTGCCCGAGCAAGCAAATGGCCTAAGTATTTTTTACAAACAAAATTTAAGATTTTTCTATAATTGTTGATAAAATTGTACCTTAAATTTAAAAATAACAATTTTAACAATTTAATCCAGAGTGATAAATTTTGAATTCAAGTCCACACACTGGATGTCGTTTATAGGCGACACTCGTACACACAGGTCGTCTTTATATATAGGGTCCGCCAAATAATTTTTTTTTTTGAAAACTAATGTATATTTTCTCAAATTTCTTTTTTTATTTGAAAGTACAATCCTTTCAGTTAATAATGAAATTAATTTAGTTAATAATGATTATAATAATTTCATTCAAAAATAAAAAAAAAGCCTCGGCTGACCGTTGAAAAAATAATGAAAATGAAATGTTAGATGGCATACCCTATATATATATATATATATATATATATATATATATATAAACTTTTTTGTATTGAAAGTAATTTATCTCTAGAGACTTCGACGATCGCTTAGGCTACAAACTTTTATATATATATATATATATATATATATGTATATTAATTTTTATATATATATATATATATATATATATGATTTCTATTTACATACAATCTAATTGTATTAGTGATTATGTTAAAAAAAATTAAGTTATTATTTTTATCGCTTATCAAATTTTATTCTTGTTTTTGCTTTCGGAAAAATGTATGAAATATATTTTAAGGATAAAAAATTTAGTTCCTAGATATAATTTATATATATATATATATATATATATATATATATATATATATATATATATAATGTCTAGGAATTATTTTTTTTATAATTTTTCTTTTAGCTACTTATTTTACTAATTTTTCAGTATCCAAAGAATCTCAAATTTTAAATTTGAACAAAAAAAAACATATATAGTATGTGTTGACCGATGATTAAATTGGCGTAAAATTACTAATAATAGTTATAATTGTTTATAATATGTATATATATATATATATATATATATATATATATAAAGTACTTCAAAAATTTTTTTAAGACCAAAAAATCGAAAAAGCATACCGTCTAAGCACAGTATAAGCGCCTTGTAGTTATAAATATATACGGAGTGACGTTTATATTGTGACTTTAAAGGAGCAATTTTTTGGTTTTCACTCAAAAATTGTCAAAAATATTATTATAGTCTAATTATCAAGTTTTCATGCATTTATATAAAAATACGTTGGATCACAATATTTTTTTTTTTTCAAAAAAGTACTTCAAAAATATTTTTTAAGGCCAAAAAATCAAAAAAGTATACAGTCTAAGCACAGTCTGAACGCCTTGTTGTAATAAATATATATTGCGTGACGTTTATATTGTGACTTTATCGGAGCAATTTTCTTATTTATGCCCGAAATTTGTCAAAAATATCGTAAAAGTCTAATTGTCTCAATGAATTTATATGAAAATACGTTTATAATATGACGTACAAAAATGAATTAAAATGATAATCGGATAACAATATTTATTAAAAAAAAAATACTGCAATTTTTTTATTTTCAATGCCAAAAAATCGAAAAAGTTTTTGGTTTCTACTCAAAAATTATCAAAATTATCGTAAAAGTCTAATTGTCATGTTTTTATAAATTTGTGCGAAAATGCGTTTATAATATAACTTTATAGGTAATTTATTTATTTTTATAATTAATTACAAATACAATTGAATGATACACTTAAAAAAAAACAATTTCAAAAAATTTATTTATTAATTAATTTTCAATATGACAAAAAATCGAAAAAGTATACGGTCTAAGCACAGTCTAAACAAGTTGTTCTAATAAATTTGTACTAGATGGCGTTTATATTGTGGCTTTTCGGGAGCAATTTTTCGGTTTTTAATCAAAATTTACAAAATGTATTGCCACAGTCCAATCGTTACGTTCTTACAACTTTATATAAAAATACGTTTATAATATGACTTTACTAATTTTTTTTTTTAATTTTAATTTCACCAAATAGAATTGATTTTTTTTTTGTAAATATATTTTCATTTATAAATTTTCAAAAAAAAATTTTGCAATAGCCCAAAATCAGAAAAGTATACAGTCTAAGCACAGTCTGATCAAGGTGTTCCAATAAATTTCTACTACGTGGCGTTTATACTGTGACTTTAAGGGAGCTTTTTTTTTTATTTTTCACATTTTCATAGTCTAATTGTTCCGTTCTTATAAATTTGTACAAATAACGCGTTTATAATTTGTCTCATTTATTAAATATATTATTATTATTATATTTTGCGCCAATTTACAGGTCAAATTAAATAAATTTAATATAACGCATCGGCGTACAAATTGTAATTAGTTTTATAAAATTTTATAAGATTTATACATAAATAAATAATATAATTATTTTAAGATATATATAAAAACAAATTATTAGCGAATTAATAATCACACTGCCAAAAAAAATATAATTAAACACACACACAAACAAAAAAGAATTTTGAAAATCGCAAAGCGCTTACTCAAAATAATAAACGCTTTTAATAGTGCGACGGTCGGTCGAAAATTCCTAAAGAAAATAATTAAATATAAAAAATTAGAATAATTACTGCCTTGAATTAATAAATATACTGCCTTGAATTAAGTGCCCTTAATATTTACTGCCTTGATTTTGAAATTTTCAATTTTGTCAAACTGCCTGTGTTTAAATTAATTAAATATTATAAATATATTATAGTCAATATGATGAAGGAAAAAGTATTAACAAATTGAAGTGAAGAAGAGTGCCGAGGGAATGAAAAATAGAGATAAAATGTTTTACATTTTGAATTTTCCAAAAATTTATAAGTGTTTCGGCATTCTTCTTCAGTTCCAAATTTATATATATAAATAGCTTTATATTTAAGACCAAAAAAAAATGAAAACGATCAAAGCATAGTGTGTTCCCGATTTTTGTAACATTCCGAAATGTATTTTAAATATATTAAATTATAATATATTTGCAAAAGAAACTAATCTAAATATAAATATATATTTTAATATTTAATATATACGAAAAGTCTTGTAATATATTGAAGAAAACGTTAATAAAAAAATGTGCAAGAAATTTGGCACTAGCTATCGTTTTAATTTACTGAAATAAGAATAAGAAAAAATTATTTTGTTCCTGAAATTTTGTTCAAAATCTAATAAAACCAGATTTTAAATATTTTTATATATATAATTAAATCTTAAAGATACAATCTTTATTAATTATCACAATTTGCATCATCGTTTTAATATTTACAATAATAAATTTTAATATTTTTGAAAATATAAATCTACCTATATACATATATTTACATGTGTATATATATATATACATATACATATATATATATATATATATATATATATTATCCCTACTAATTATATATATTTACAATATTTACATATAAGCGTAAGAAAACAACAAAATTTTCTTATAACTTCAGATAAACCAAAAGTTTTAAATTTAAATATACATACACAAATATTCAAAATAAATATTTCAGCTTTAATTTTTATTTTTAACATATTTGTATATGTATATTTAATTATATTTGTGCATAAAAAATATTTCCAAATCGGTAATATTAAATTTAATATTTGATATTTCATACCACGAATACCCATGATCCTGTTTTTATTTTCTTTAAACAAGTACATACAATATATATGTATAAAGATTTTGGTTTCTAAACTGAATATTTATTTATTTAATTTTTATTTATAATTTTTTCGACGTTTCGTAAATGTGAAATGTGCCCTTATTCAGGAACTTTAAAACAAAAAAAGAATATAACTTTGAAAAAATTAAATTTGCCAAAGTTAAATTTGCAAAATTTGAATTGACTTGGAGTTGGTTAAAGTTAATGATTTTATTTTAATATAAAATTAAGTCTATTTTAACAGTTTCTGAAGAAAGGACAAATTGTGGTTCAAAAATAAATTGATAATGATAATAAAATATATAAAATAATTCTAAAAACTTGGGCATCATGGGTAAAAAATCATTTTCTATCATTTTGGTTATTTAAAATTCAGGTCCTTTCCAGTTTTAATTACACAAAAATGGTTCGTTTTTTTTTTCAAAAAAATATTGAGGAAATTTAGAAAATTGAACAATATTTATATTGAAATGTCAACAAATTTAATATCAGGATTAATGGGGTAATTCTGCCATAACATAACGTTGTCATGGCAACGCCATATTTGTTTATTGTTTGTGAAAATGTTTATCTATTTGCTGTGCGATCAGGCGTATTTTACATATAAACAACGTAAGAAAGAATCTTATGCTAACTGCGTTATTGACGATTCTGTTATCATAACATTTTTCCTTGGTTTGTTTATAATTAAAATAAGCCTGATCGCACAGCAAATAGACAAATTTTTCACAATTTTAACTGCCAAATTTTCAATATTTTTCTCAACAAAATATGTTTTGTTAGATAAATATCATGATTTTTTAACAATATTACCTTAAATAATATTTATATTGAAATGTTTAATACAACATTCACATTTTTGCACACATTTATAATATTTTAGTCATGTCCACCACAAGGTAAATCCCTAGTATCAATTTCCTTAGACAAAACATGTTTTGTTAATAAATGTTTACCACTCGACAATATAATATTTATATTAAAAAGTCAAAAAAATTGAAATTAGGTTTTAAACTACACTTTGTATTTATAGTCTTTTAAGCAGGTCCACGATTGGTTGGATCCCCACCTCAAACAAAACATGTTTTGTTTTATAAGTGTTTCACGTCACTTGTTTACAAACACTTGGCAATATAATATTTATATTGAAAACTCAAAACAAAATTAAATTAGGTTTTTATCTACACTTTGTATTTATAGTTTTTTAGGCAGGTCCACTATAAAATGGATCCCCAGTATCAATTTCCTCAAACAAAACATGTTTTGTTTCATAAATGTTTTACGTCACGACGTTTGTTTACAACCACTTGACAAAGTATTCAAGAAATTTGATATCAGAATCCACAAGACACTTGACAATTTTATATTGGAATATTAAGAAATTTGATATCAGGATTCACTAGACAATTTACATTCACAATAATTTATTCAAATCCACCACAAGGTGGAATCCCAGAATCAATTTTCTTAAACAAAACAGGTTTTGTTTAATAAATGTTTCGCGTCACTAAGTTTGTTTACAAACACTTGACAAAGTGTCACGAAAATTGATATCAAAATTCACTAGACACTTTACATTCACAATAATTAAGGCAAATCCACCACAAAGTGATCCACAGTATTTAGTTCCTTAGACAAAACATGTTTTGTTTTATAAATGTTTCACGTCACTAAGTTTGTTTACAACCACGTCAAGAAAATTGATATCAGGATTCACTAGATCCTTGACAATTTTATACTGAAATATCAATAAATTTGATATTAGGATTCACTGCACACTGCACATTTGTATTATTTTAGGCAGGTCCATGAAACGGCATCAATTTCCCTCCAGTATCAATTTCCTGAGACAAAACATGTTTTGTTTTGTAAATGTTTCAAGGACACTAAGTTTGTTTACAACCACTTGACAAAATATCAAGAAATTTGATATCAGGATTCACTAGACACCTGACAATTTTTTTATTGATATCAGGATTCACTAGACACTTCACATTTGTAATATTTTAGGCAGGTCCACGAAAGGGCATCAATTTCCCCCCAGTATCAATTACCTTATAAAACATGTTTTGTTTTATAAATGTCAAGAAATTTGATATCACAATTCACTATATACTTTTTAGACAAGTCCAAGAAACGTCAGGATCTCTGTATTACCATGTTCGTCAACAAATAGGATTATTTACACACATTTTTTCCTGTACCAATGTCCTTTATCCTGCAGCGCATTCGCAGCAAAAATTGACAGCCCTTTCTTCCCAAACCCACAATTCTCGCAATTGCAAAGGCAATCCTGCAACTCCGATTTTTTTATCGGGTTCCAATTGCGCACACAATCCTGCCTTCCTTCGCATAAGCCTCAAAGTGAAGGATCTTGGTTTGCACCTATAATGACCATAAAAACACGTGTGTTTGGTGCACTCGACACTTCTGAGGTACCTCGGAAAATAATCAGGGCCCAAATCGAGCCACTGGATACGTTTTTCACACTGCCAGGGTTCACGTTTTTCTAAAGTTTTATATTTTGTGGCGCGTTTCGAACGTTGCACCAGGGTTAAAGATTTTAGGTTCCAGGCTGGTTCGGGTCCCAGCTCGCGCTGGTAGTCGTCGTCAACGTAGAAAGATGGCTCCGAGGGATCCGTTTGGCGTTTACCACTATTGTTATCGGTTGGTGCATGGATTTGGGGTTTGTTGATACTCATGTAACGAGAATTATAAGACGCACCGAGGATTTCACTTAGAACTTCTTCGGGTATGGGAGTGCAGTTAACTTTTGCATCGCTTTTGAAACGAGAACCACTTTTAAAAACAGACATTGCACTAACCGTACACCACAAGGTAAGTAGACACAACATTATTTTACACATTTCTCACTTTACTAAATTTTGCATTTATTATTTTTCGATCTTTACAGCATGGATGCCCAGGCACGACTGCTCGCCATCGGCCTCGTCCTTTGCTAATCGGCGTATTTTCCATCTTTTCGGAGTTGTTCAATATTTTTCGGGGCATCTGGGCATTTTAAATTGGCTAAATGACTTTTAACACTGGCAACAAAAGGGAAAGAAGGTATCGACCTGGATTAGATGACAGGCACGAGGGCCTTTTATACCTGAGGAGACCCGTTAGGAATCGCACGCAGTTGTGGTCAAATCTAGGTAAGGGGTAAATAAATTTGTAATTGTAGGATAATAGAAATTTTATTACCAACATTTCTGTTTTATTTTTTAAATTGTAATGATTTTTTGTACTCTTGTCTCAAAAAGTTACGCGGGATATAAAACAATTTTAATACGATTTTAATGATTTACAAAAATTCTGCTTGTTTTGACGACACGATTGCTTTTCGAAAAATAATTCTTTTCTATTTTTTTTAATTCTCAAAAATTTGAATTTAAATTGCAATTCTAGCTAAATTTCTATAGCTCACTAATATACTCAAAATAAATAATTTTAACTTTGCACTTCAGTATATATAATTCTTATAAATATTAATCAATGTCCTTCATTTTAAATTCGATTGATTAAGTTTTGTTTATTAACTTCCCGTAGGGTAAGTTATTGTAATGGGCCGAAAATCAAAAATCAAATTTTTTTCATTTCTCGACGTTTTGTAGGTTTCTGAACAATTTGGCATACCTAAAAAAAATGGATGTGTGTATGTATATGTATGTATGGATACAATTTTTCGTTCACGTTTTCGGGCGCATGGATCAACCGATTTGAATAGTTCAAAAAGCATTCGATTCCTATTGATAGGGAGAAGAGCTGATTAGTTTTTGGCAAAGGCAGGTCCAACAGTTACGGAGCTACGGAGCAAAGAGTGCAGAAAATAGAAATCGAGTTTTTGAGTGAACGGAGCATCCGATATGAATGATCAACATTCAATTAGTAATGATTGGGAGAAGTCGTTATTAGCTTATGGCAATGGCAGGACCAGCCATTTCGAAGATACAGAGCTAAATGTACATAAAATGGCATTTTTTGAGAGAACTAAGCGTCCGATTTAATTGATTTAAAGAACTTTCTGCTTGTCTTAACAAAATAATTAATTTTGGAAAAAAAAGTTGTTTCAATTTTTTTAATTTTTTTTTTTAATTTTTTGTATATTGATAATAATTCAGATTTTATTTTTAATTCTGACTATAGTTCTAATATACTTTAAACAAATAATTTCAACTTTGCAATTCAGTTTATATAATTCTTATAAATATTAGACAATGTTACAATATTTACAATAATCTATTTGAAAACATTCAGTATTCCTCGAACAGTTCGTTACGGTACGGGAAGTTCCAGCAATTTGACTTAAGGCACGATGCCATATTTGCCTCAAGACAGAATTCCACTTACAGCTAGTTATAATTTTATTTTAATGAAAAATCATTATTTAAAAATTTATGTAATTAAAAATTTCTGTTTGATGGTTTTATTTTTTTCGTACGTTTCGACAGAGCATTTATGCAATCTTTAGAGATTTTGTTTAATTTTTATTTATATGAAAATCTGTTGATTGTATTTCTTTTAATAATTTCAATTTTTGGTAATTTTATTTTGGTGAAAAAATTAATAATACGTTCATAAAATCAACAAATTCTTTTTTGCATTGTCAGTGCAAAAAAATATAAAAAAAATATTTAAATGTCAACATTTAGAGTTAAAGTTAAATGTTACAATTTTTGTATGTCATATAATGTAATTCATTTTTCGAGCATTTTTTATTATTACATGCTTTTGTTACGAAATTATTTATATCATAATTTTAATTATTTTATTATGATGGTACGTCGTAAAAAATCCATGTCCACCACTGCTCTTTTCAGTTTTGCACACAAAATTATTTTTAATCGTACGCTAGAGAGCAGGTTTTGATCAAGTCGCTTATTACTCATTTTGTATGCAAAAAATAAATTTATTTTAATTTTCTTATTTATCTATATGAATCTAAAAATGACATACTCAAATTTTAGTATTGTACTATCATCCTTGTGGCCTTACGAGCTCGTCAAAAATAAACTTTTGTAATGTAGAATGCTCATTTACGAGTCGGGATAATTATATGATTGCGCGATTTTTTATTTAAAAATAAACTAAATTTTTAATTTTTAAATATTACATTTTGTAATAGAGGTGTTGAAGATTGAAATATAGAAATTTGACGTTTGTAGGGTAAATAGTGTGGTCTGAGGAGCTCCCCAAAAACAAACATTTAAAATTCAACATCTTTCTGGATAGTTATGCATTCGCGCAATTCTTTTATTTAAAACTTATCCAATTTTAATATTTTTAAATATTACATTTTATAATAGATATGTTGAAGATTGAAATATCCAAATTTGAAGCTTCTAGTGTAAAAAGTGTGGTCTGAAGAGCTCTTCAAATATCATAATTATTTTCTCTGTTTTACAAAGTTCTTAAAATACACGTTTATTATGCATCACGTTTAGGGACAATTATATATTCGAAAAATTTTTTTATTTAAAAATGATATAATTTTAATTTTTTAAATATTACATTTTTTAGTAGATATATTGAAGATTAAAATATGCAAATTTCACGATTCTAGTGTAAATAGTGTGGTCTGAGGAGCTCCCCAAAAATAAACATTTAAAATTCAACATCTTTCGGGACAATTATGCATTCGCGCAATTTTTTTATTTAAAACTTATCCAATTTTAATATTTTCAAGTATGTATTAGATATGCTAAAGATTGAAATATCCAAATTTATGTGGAGCGAAAAAGTGTGGTCTGAGGAGCTCTTCAAATATCATAATTATTTTCTCTGACTTACAAAGTTCTTAAAATATACGTTTATTATGCGTCACGTTTGGGGACATTTATATATTCGCGCAATTTTTTTATTTAAAAATAATCTAATTTTAATATTTTTAAATATTACATTTTGTAGTAGATATATTGAAGATTAAAATATGCAAATTTCACGATTCTAGTGTAAATAGTGTAGTCTGAGGAGTTCTTCAAATATAATCTTTTTTTGTTTTTGTAACTTGACGTCATTTTTGCACAAACAAATACATGTAAGCAATTATAAAAAAAATAATTGCATAAATATTTTACGAATTGTAATATTTTTAAGTACTACATTTTATACTAGATTCATTGAAGCATGAAATATATAAAATTGAAACATTTAATGCAAATAGTGTACTCTGAAGAGTTCTTCAAACATGAACGTTCATTTTTCATCACGTTTCGGGACGGTTATGCATTTACGCATTTTTTTAATTCAAAAACAAATCAAAATTAATATTTTTAAATAATACATTTTATAATATAGAGAATAAAATATCTAAATTTGAAGTTTATAGCACCAACAGTGCAGTCTGAGGAGCTCATCAAAATCAATTATATCATGTAACATTGTAACCGCAAATACTTTTCCTCAATACTGAGAAAATCCGATTAAATTTTATTCTAGTATTAATGCGGCATCCGGTCGAAATTTTTCATTTGAAATTTTAACTTTTGTAAATTTACCGGCTTGATAAAAATATCCAAATACTGAACACTAAACGCGGCCACCAAAAAAACACGTATACATTATTATAAATATGTTTTGTAAAATTTATTATTTATATACCAAGTCAATAGTTTTGATCATTTTCATCAGCTCTCTTACTAATAATGATTCACACCTGGTAGGTTTACATTTCCGGACTTTCCCGAGGTTTTGGGATAATTAATTTATTATAGGGCCCCCTACAGCGTACCTGTATATTGTAATTTGTTTATCAGAGATTTTAAAAGGTTTTGTAGAAAAATTGCATATTTATCAGAGGTTCTCAAACCTCGAAAAATTTGAATAAAAACGAAATTTAACACTAACAATTTCAAATTATATGTACGAAGTAATTTAAACTAGTGGTGTATGGCATCGTGCTTTAGGGCAAATTTAAACCATTTTACTCAATTTGAATATTTTTTTGATTATTTGAAATGATTTTTCCATTATTATATATGGTCTAGTATTTGTGGTTTGTATGTAAATTGGATATATAAATGTATATATTGATATATACATCATTATATATGGTCTAGTATTTGTGGTTTGTATGTAAATTGAATATATAAATGTATATATTGATTTATACATCATTATATATGGTCTAGTATTTGTGGTTTGTGTGTAAATTGGATATATAAATGTATATATTAATTTATACATCATTATATATAGTCTAGTATTTGTGGTTTGTGTGTAAGATGTATATATAAATGTATATATTGATTTATACATTATTACATATGGTCTAGTGTTTGTGGTTTGTATGTAAATTGGATATATAACTGTATATATTGATTTATACATCATTATATATGGCCTAGTATTTGTGGTTTGTATGTAAATTGGATATATAAATGTATATATTTATTTATACATCATTATATATGGCCTAATCTGTGTGGTTTGTATGCAAATTGGATATATAAATGTATATATTGATTTAAACATTATTATATATGGCCTAGTCTGTGTGGTTTGTATGTAAATTAGATATATAAATGTATATATTGAGTTATACAACATTATATATTGCCTAGTGTTTGTGATTTGTATGTAAATTGGATATATAAATGTATATATTGATTTATACATCATTATATATGGTCTAGAATTTGTGATTTGTATGAAAATTCGATATATAAATGTATATATTGATTTATACATCATTATATATTGCCTAGTGTTTGTGGTTTGTATGTAAATTGGATATTTAAATGTATATATTGATTTATACATCATTATATATGGCCTCGTCTGTGCGGTTTGTATGTAAATTGCATATATAAATGTATATATTGATTTATACATCATTATATATGGTCTAGTGTTTGTGGTTTGTATGTAAATTGGATATATAAATGTATATATTGATTTATACATCATTATATATTGCCTAGTGTTTGTGGTTTGTATATAAATTGGATATATAAATGTATATAGTGATTTATACATCATTATATATTGCCTAGTGTTTGTGGTTTGTGTGTTATTTGGATATATAAATGTATATATTAATATATACATCATTATATATGGTCTAGTATTTGTGGTTTGTGTGTAAGTTGTATATATAAATGTATATATTGATTTA